GTCGTCGTTGTCGTCGTTGTCGTCGTTGTCGTCGTTGTCGTCGTTGTCGTCGTTGTCGTCGTCGTCGTTGTCGTCGTTGTCGTCGTCGTAGCTGTTTGTAAACACGATAACTCAAAAAATAATTGAGATAATCAAAATCTGGAAATGCCAAAAGTTTTGTATCCGAAAAACTTAGTTTAAGTTCGAAGATGAGCCATTTTCAATTTGACCCTGGGGTACTTGCCCTAAGGAAAACCTCAAAAAATTGACACTTTTGTATGGGAGGTACCTGTAAATCGACTCCGATTGGCTTCAAACCTTCTGAGATTTCATTTTTTGGGAAAAAAATAAGATTCTGAAAGTTTGAAACCAATCGGAATCGATTTACGGGTACCTCCCATACAAAATTTTTGAAATTTTGACTAAAATTACCGATTTTTGGACAATTTTGTATGGGAGGTACCCGTTAATCGATTCTGATTGGCTTCAAACTTTCTGAGGTTTCATTATTTGGTGAAAAATTAAGATTCTGAAAATTTCATGTTGATCGCATTTGCAGAAGTTTGATTTTTGGCCCTCAATTTTTGTGAAAATTTTCTTGGAAAAAATTGAGGGCCAAAAACCAAACTTCTGCAAATGCGATCAACATGAAACTTTCAGAATCTTATTTTTTCTCCAAAAAATGAAACCTCAGAAAGTTTAAAGCCAATAAGAATCGGTTTACGGGTACCTCTCATACAAATTGGTCGAAGTTTCAGTTAAAGTGACCGACTTTTCACTTTATTTTTATTATTATATTTTCACTGCCTTTATTTCAAGAAAATTCACAAAAAATAACCAAAAGTACATACGGACAACGCAGGCCAACGGTACGAAAAGTTTGGGATTACCAATGTAATTCTTTTTATTATTACAAACATTTGCTTAGTCTTTTTACTTTTTCGCAGGCCCATGTCGTGGACTGCGTAAAAGTATTGCATTTGGCCCAAATTTTAAGACACCCCAAAAATATGATTTCTATCCGTTTTCGAGGCCGTAGAACACGAAAAAATGGGTTTTAGAGCGATGTTTTGTGAGTCTGTTCCACGTCGTACGTTGTACGCAAATTTTTTAATGTAATTTGTTAACACGATAGCTCAACGACCAGTCGAGATAAATGAGATGTGGTGATGGCAAAAGTTTGGGCTTGTTTAGACTTAGAAACCATTAGATTTCCACCCACTTCAGATATAGCCTAGGATAACCTAGCCTGTGGCCAACCTTTGAAAATCCCTAAAAATTCATACTTTTCTATGGAAGATACCTAAAATAGCCCCCCCTACATGGTTTTCATCATATCAAACTGCTATTATTTCATCAAAATATTGAGAATTAGAGAGCAAGATTATATCATTTTCCCATGATTTCAGTATCAAATTCGAATTTGTAGGTGAAAATATTGAAAATTTCCGAAATGGTCACACTTTGCGTACAAAATCGGTCATAGCTCACAAACTAACCACCTTATAAAGATTATTGGCAACTATATATCACTTAATTTTTTATGAAGAATCGATTTCCAGTTCAATCGACCGTATCTGAAGTCTCAATGGGGTCAAAAATGCAATTGTTCGCGGTGATATTTTCAACTCGCAATATTTTTTCCACTTGGAATAGAATTTTTGTGCATAAAGCTTGCAAAACGCATACGATTCAGAAATTTCATCTCGCAAACTCCAGTCTTTGTTATAAAATAACAGTGCTATTTGATTCAAATAATTTGAATGACATAATATTTATTTCTCTACGGCTTTGGTATCATTTCTACATTTTCGTTCCAAATCCCTTGGAAAATACCATTTTTGTATGAATGTTAAAAGAAACGTTTGAATTCATTTTAATCCAACATTTGAGCATTTTTCCAAAAGCCGTGACGCGATAATTTCTAAATATCACTAGTTTTGAAGGGCATTTTAATATTAAGAAATATTTTTTTTATTTGTCAGTGGAACAATTACTGTATTTCCAGATAAAAGTCAACCTTAACTTTTTATTGAAACAAACCAACAAACTAATGTTTATTGAAATGAAATTTAAAAAAAAATCGATTCTCATTGAATAAAGATTCAAATAATAATATTAAAACATAATCAATTTGGTTGTTTATTATTTGGATTGATTGTGAAACAGATCACTGAATATAGAGAGTATTTGGATCCCACTGCAAAAAAGTTCGTCTTACAACGGTAAGACCATTTATTTACTATTTCAACGTAATCCGTATTGATTGAGTTACACTTCTGACGGAAGAATGTGCTCCATTAACTCTTCACTTCACTGTCGTATTTCCTTGAATTAACTTGCATTGTAACTTTTGAACAAAAACCAACGCAACTAAGGTAGATGAGCCTGAATATAAGGCAAAGGTATGCGTCATGTCGTTCAATAATAATAAGGAATGATTTGGAAATGTTTACATCTTCTTGGTATACGACGTCAAAGTCTTTTCAATGTTGAAAAACAACCAGATCGTTGTTTACATACGATTTCAATATGTAAACAAAGATCTATCTGGATATTTTTTTACATTGAAATGACTTTGACTTTATGTACCGTGAAGTCATAAACATATCCATATTCAAACAGCTAAGTCAAATAAACACGTCACACAACACTTCAAGTGGAAAACTTTTGCTTGAATTTGCAATTTAATTTGATCCAATTGTGTTAGTTTTCGAACCATGGTGAAGGTAATATGTAGGAATGAACGTAAACATCTGGTATTTTCAATGTGATCCATTCGTGGGAAACGTAAAATTATGGACAATTCCACCAATTGACGGCAATTGTTTGAAGGATGTAAAGTATATACTATCATTGTAGCCATTGAACAAAGCAATCATGGTACGTGAGCCTGAATTTAACGCAATACGTCGTGTCGTTTGATCTTTCATATTCATATTTAATATGTAAGCGAAGATCCATCTGTGGTTGTTTTTTAACTTTGAAACGAATCTGAAACGGAGTGTGTTTTGTGCATGCTGCGAAGATGTGAACATTTCCATATTCCAATAAAGTCATTAGAATATTATCACGTGAACAGCATATGGACAAATCGTGAAATTTAAATCGCTGTATTTCCATATTCAAATAGCCACGTCCGGTGAACAACACTCACACTTTAAGAGTGGAAAATGTTTGCCTACATTTGCAATTCAATGTGATCCAACTGCGGTATTTTTGAACCATCATGAACTTGATGAAGGAATGAACATGAACATCTGGTATTTTCGATGCGATCCATTCCACGTGGAACGTATAATTACGCACAATTTTACATTGAATAATCCTCCTTGACGACAATTGTTCTACGTTTTTGTCTTAAAAAGGTGTGCTTTAATATTTTGTGAATTTTTAATCCTCATTGCGGATGGATTAAATTATACCGTTAATGTGCTGCTTACTTATGTGACCACAATTGAAAAGTATATAAAATGATGCGTTCAATCCGCATGTCTATCAAACAATTCGTCAATTCTCTTCAATTGATACGTTTACAGTAAACATACGATAGTTCGAAGCTGAAAAAATGCTGAGTCGAAGATCTTTCACACTGCTGCTCGTTGGCTTGGTGGTATCCCAGGTGAGTCGACCATTTCAGTCAAATTTTCTGTCATTCCATTCTTTCAGTTAAAAATTTAAGATAAGTTTTCTAAACTACGTTCAATAAAAAAATGTTCATTTTTGAAAGAATATCTAATTTGAGTCAACTGCGAACAACGTCTCTTTTACGCTAACAGCAATTCGTACACGAACGAGTCAGTGTGACTGTTGGCATGAGCGCGACAAAGTTTGACAGCAAACAATTTAGTTATGTCGGTTTAAATATTCCATTGTAAACTTTTTTCGAATAAAAATACAGTTAAAAACCATCCAAAATCGCATCCATTGTTCCCAATCCAGTCTAATCACTTTATTTTAATGGCACAGTTCTTAATCGTTAATGTGAGTGGAACATCAAACTCAACGACTGATTCAGTAAAAGATATAGTCAAACGAATTGAAAGTCGCGGATGAATAATGGTGGGGTGAATCTTAGCAAATCCCCTTCCACAGTTGTGAGTGGAGCACCTTAAAATTAGTGTATGATGTAAATAAACCGCTAAACAATGTCACTTGTACTGACGGTAGTTTAGTGACTAATGTACCTAGAAAGTAGTGACATTTTTCGTTCATTTATTGCTAGATATAAATCAACTCGCGTCACTACATCGGTTACTAGTTTACATATTCCATATTTTGGTGTGCATGAAGAGTATTTTTTCATTTTCCATACAAATTGACTTTTCGAAAACGAAGGAAAACCAAAAAATACCACGCGATTCATTACCCCAAATTTAAAGCAATGTCAATCCACCATGTTATATTGGCGAATGTTTTTTTTTGTTTCAAAAATCCATTGATTTTACATTTCAATTCATTCAATTTGGTTATTCCAAACTAAGTACCATATACATATGCGTTCCTAATTTTCAACTTGAAGCAAATTGAATGTGGTGGTGTACGTGAGTTGGCTGACAAAGTAAAGGGAGCCATGACACAAGGTAAGATTGAAGGTAAATTTCTTTTCAATGTTTCATTCTCACTATTCGACATATAAAGCACCGTTTGATGCGTTTTCCATCAATCTAACAAAGAATCCAGGCCAAATTAACCAAAACTCAATTGATTCAAACCATTCATGACGAATTTGTTGCATTTTAGAAAATACAAAATGTAACGTTACATTTAACATTCGTTTGACGTATAATGAGATTAAGAAAAAAACAACGCGTTGAATCATCCATTCCAATCGTCATTGTCTCTATCAAGTAATTATCAGTTCGAAATTAGCATTTGTCTCTGACGGTATTGTTGTTTTTTTCCGAATACTACACCAATATGGAATCGTTTTTTTTCAAGTGTAACGTGAAATATTCGCTTCAATAAAAGAAAAAAAGAAAATTTTCTGGCTGAATTCGGGATTTATATTTTAAAAAATTGGCTCAATTTATGGGTTATTTTATGGGTTCTTGACATAAGTTACCTTATTTTTTCTGTGGAATTGAAGAAGTCTGCTTCAGAAATTTCTGGACGATTGAAGAGAGTCATGTGAAGAAACGGTAGGCTTTTGTCATGAATCCAAATTCAGAAGTAAGACATTTTCCTTTGATTCACTTCTCTGATTAATTTTTTTTTTAATTTCAAGCAAACAAAAAAGACGAACGCGGCCAAACAGCTCTACATGTCGCTGCTGAGAATGGTAATTTTGGATATTTATGCTAACTAAATCAGAAATTGATTGAATCTATTTCATTGATCTGTTTCAGGTAATTTGGACGACGTTGAAAAGCTAATTGCGAAAGCAGCCAAAGTTGATTCGATAGACAAAGGTCAGCGTAAACCTCTTCATTTGGCTGCTATGAATGGTAATGTTGCACATTTATTTTCATAAAACAAGAAATTGGTTTGATCTTTCTCATTGATCTGTGTTATTTTTTAGGTCACACGAATGTCGTTGATTTTCTCATCACGAAAGGAGCCAATGTTAATTCTGAAGATCACATTCAACAGACACCTCTTTTGGCTGCTATGAATGGTAATTTTGAATATTTCCATGAGTAAGAAATAAGTTTGATCTTATTCATTGACTGGTGTAAATTTTCAGGAACCAAGGATGTCGCTGAAAGGCTTATCAGCAATGGAGCCAAAGTTGATGTTAAAGACTATTATAAACGGACAGCTCTTCATTACGCCGCTAGGAATGGTAAACAGAGCATTCAATTTACTGTACGCTAGTCCCACAAATGGTGCTCCGAGTGGGAAATCGCAAATTCGGAAGAGAAATGTGCTTAGAACAGACAATTTTCATTACTTTCAATCCACCCACAAAAGAATATGTTGTTTACATCAACATATTGTATGAAAACTGTATGTCATTTCTCCTCTAAATTTTGAATTTCCCACTTCGAGTTTTTAACGTTTGTGGGACTAGCACACTGTAAAATGAATGTTCTGGTGGTAATGTTGAATTTTTATTCTCACTAAATCGGTTTTAATCTTTCATTGATTTGAATTATTTTCCAGGTAACAAGGAAGTCGCCAAACTTCTCATTAAAGCATTGCCTTTGAATGTTGATGAAAAAGATTGTTATAAAATGACTGCACTTCACTATGCTGCTGAAAATGGTAATGTTGAATATTTATGTTCACTTAATAAGACATTGGTTTGATTTGGATTATTCTGCAGGTCGTGAAGATGTCGCTAAACTTCTTATCGATGAAGGAGCCGATCTTAATGCTAGAGATGATTATAATCGGACACCTCTTAGCTTTGCTGATAAGTATAGTAATGTTAAACATTTATTTTCACCAAATTTCTTGGTTTAATCCTTTTCATTGATCGGTATTATTTTTCAGATCGCGAGGATATGGTTAAATACCTCAAAGGAAAGGGTGGAAAAATGTGAATGAGCTGAACAATCGGATGATTTCCTTCGATTCCCGTATTCTATTGTCATCTAGAATATTAATTTCGGTAGTTTTTATCAATCTTCGACCACACCAATATTGCTGCTTTGTTCGACCATCGAATAAAATTCTCTAAAAAAAGCTCATGTTTTTTGTTTTTTAGCCATACATGAAATGTAGAGCTACTAATCTGCTTCTTTTATTTCTTAATACTTTTTGAGTGATGAAACAAATTATGGTGAATTTGAATTTTATGCTCATATATTTTTTATTTAGTTTAAACCAAAGGCAGTGTATTACTTTTCCGTACACAACGTGTCAAGGGAAAGTATAGGAATTGGTCCCGAAAACTTTTTTCGAAAAATTAGCTTAGATCATCATAAAAACTCATGAAACGCGTAGAAAACCACTTTTTGAGATACTTTTCCGTTCGTGTGCCGTCGTTGTCGTTGTCGTTGTCGTCGTTGTCGTAGCTGTTTGTAAACACGATAACTCAAAAAATAATTGAGATAATCAAAATCTGGAAATGCCAAAAGTTTTGTATTCGAAAAACTTAGTTTAAGTTCGCAGATGAGCCATTTTCGATTTGATCCTGGGGTACTTGCCCTAAGAAAAACCTCAAAAAATTGACACTTTTGTGTGGGAGGTACCTGTAAATCGACTCCGATTGGCTTCAAACTTTCTTTCGAAAATTTCGACAAAAATTGAGGACAAAATATCAAACTTCTGCAAATGCGATCAACATGAAACTTTCAGAATCTTATTTTTTCTCCAAAAAATGAAACCTCAGAAAGTTTAAAGCCAATCAGAATCGATTTACGGGTACCTCCCATACAAATTTTTTGAAATTTTGACCAAAATTACCGACTTTTGGACAATTTTGTATGGGAGGTACCCGTTAATTGATTCTTATTGGCTTTAAACTTTCTGAGGTTTCATTTTTTGGAGAAAAAATAAGATTCTGAAAGTTTCATGTTGATCGCATTTGCAGAAGTTTGATATTTTGTCCTCAATTTTTGTCGAAATTTTCTTGGAAAAAATTGAGGGCCAAAAACCAAACTTCTGCAAATGCGATCAACATGAAACTTTCAGAATCTTATTTTTTCTCCAAAAAATGAAACCTCAGAAACTTTAAAGCCAATGAGGTACGGTTTACGGGTACCTCTCATACAGAGATGTCGATTTTTCACTTTATTTTCATTATTATATTTTCACTGCCTTTATTTCAAGAAAATTCACAAAAAAAACCAAAAGTACCTACGGACAACGCAGACCAACGGTACGGAAAAGTTCGGGATTACCAATGTAATTCTTTTTTCAAAAAAGAAATTAAACCAAGATTTTGTAATTCATTTTGCAAATAAATATATTACTTCAAAGTTACTTTGATGAAATACATTTCATGTAGTGCGTCAAAAAATAGTTTATTGTGAAACAACAAAATAGATTAAGTAACTAAAAACTCAAGAACGCAGAGCGGAGCGAATTGCTACGGCTGCATTTTTTACGTTTCACCAATAGATTTCATGTCACTAAATTGAAAATTAATTTGATTTATTTTAATGATCTAAATTACTTTTTGGGTCACACGGATATCGCTAAACTTCAAATCGATAAGAAAGCCAAATTTGGCTTTAAAGTTGATATTGGGGATAGTTTGAATCAGACACCTCTTCATTACGCTGCTGAGAATGGTAATGTTGAATATTTAAGTTTACTTAATTGAAATTGGTCAAAATTATTTTATTATTCATATTCATATTTACCGTACGACAATCGATCTGTGGGCATTTTTTTAACTTTAAAACGACTTTAAAATGGAACATGTTTTGTGCATTCCGCGAAGATGTGAAAATTTCCATATTCGTATGACTACGTTACATAGCAACACCACTCAGCACTTCAAGAGTCAAGAATATTTTCTAGAATTTGCAATTCAATGAGATTCAATTGCGTTATTTTCCAAACCATAGTGAAGGTGTTGAACGAATGAACGTGAACATCTGGTATTTTCGATGCGATCCATTCCACCAGGAACGTATAATTACACACGATTTCACCAATTGACGACAATTTAATGGGTAAGAATAATCTTGACCTACCAAATTGAGTGAAAATAAATGTGAAACATAGAGTTTTTTTTATATATGGACTTTACAACAAAAAAAAACTCTATGTTTCACATTTATTTTCACTCAATTTGGCAGGACAAGATTATTATTACCGATTCAATTGTTCTAAATTTTTGTCTTGAAAAGGTGTGCTTTAATATTTTGTGAATTTTAATCCTCCATGCAGATGAATTAAATTATACCGTTAATGTGTTGCTTACTGATGTAACCACACTTGACAAGTATATAAGAAGATGCGTTCGATTCGTCTATCTATCAAAAAGTTCGTCAATTCACTTCAATTGACACGTTTACAGTACACTTTTGATAGTTCGAAGCTGGAAAAATGCTGAGTCGAAGATCTTTCACACTGCTGCTCATTGGCTTGGTGGCATCCCAGGTGAGTCGACAATTTCAGTCACTTTTTTGTCATTTTAATATTGCTTGGAATTTTTCCACTTGGAAATTTTGGATCGAATCTTTTACATTTGATTCTTTCAGCCGAAATTTTAAGATAATATTTCGAACCAATCTCACTATAAGGAAATGTCCATTTTGAAGCTTTTCAATAACAAAAAAACGTCCATTCCAAGAACAATGTCCATTCGGAGACTTTTATTCGAATGAAAATACAGTTGAAAACCGTTACAATCTCATCCATTATTCCCACTCCAATTGTATCACTTTGTTTTAATTCCACAGTTCCTAGTCGTGAATGTGAGTGGAGCACCATTCGGGGATAGTAATGATGATCACTCTGAGTCAAGCCCAACTTTTATTCCAATTAAAGACCGAGTCAAAGGAATAAACGACCTCTCAAAGAATAGCAAATGGCCGATTGTGCATCCAAGCAAGCCAGATCCACCAAAAAAATATGCCAAGCCTGTTATGATGAATCTAGATTCCCAAACCGTGAAAGGTAGATCAACAGTTTCAGAGGGTATGTTTGGAGCAGATCATAGTCATTCAAGCCAAACGCTTGCTTCAGCCGAAAACCAAGTTGGAAAATTGGACTTTCACGCAAA